TGATGAGTTAGTTGCTTTGTAAAAGTCTGTAAAATATTTAGATATTTCTCAATATCTCAATAAAGACATGCCATTGTAGTATGATTGTGGATTAAAAAAAATAAAATAAAATAAAAAATAAAGTAAGAATAATAATATTTTATATTTATATTATCTTTAAATGTTAATTTTTAATGAATAATTAAGAAAAGTATATAAGTAATTAAAAGTGTACAGTCAATTATTAAATGAAGATCTAAGAAAGTTGTCAAATATTAGAATAAATTAACCAATATAATTAAGAAAATAAAGATTTATTTATCTAAAAAAAGAAAAACTGATCTGAAAAATTTTACTAAAAAAAAAATAAATATAATATATATGATTACGGTTGGCATTCTGAAAAGATATTTTTGACAAAATATTTTATACTGAATAATTACAATATTAATTATAATTACTATACTTATAATTAAAGAATTTGTTAAAATATTTAAATAAATATTTGAAATCAATTTAAATATTTTAATTAATTTGCAAATAATATTATGATAATTTATATTTCTATGAAATGATATTATCAAAAAACTTGTTGAATTGAACATACAGTAAGAGAGAGATTTTGGAATATAAACAAAAAAAAAGATAGAAAAAAGTAAAGAATTAACAGTTAAATTCAAAAAATAAAAAATTACTAAATATAAAAAATTATTAATATATTTAGAGGGTGAAAAACAAATTAAAAAAAACATATAAATAATGAAATTTGAAAATAGTTGAAAAATTAAAAGAAAAAAATAAAAAATCTCAAAAAACATTTAACAAAATAAAATCAATTAGGACTAGTTTTAAAAAAGTTATGTTAAAATCTTTAAAAAAAAAAGAAAAGTAAGTAGAAAAGTAGAAAGATAAAAAATAAAGAAATAAATAATTTGGTTAATTTATTTTATAATTTATTGTAATTTTTTAATAAATTTCTTAAATATTTATCAAATTTCAATAATGAATTTATAACTTTTATCAAATTTTTTGTTACAGTATATAATTTTTTTTATTGAATTATTTATTGCAATATCAATTTTTTTATTAAATTTTTTGCCATAATATATAAATTTTTTGTATAATATATTAAATTCTTTTTATATTATTTTTAAATTTTATATTAAAAATTTTTATTATAATAAGTTAAAATTTTTTTCAATTTTTTATTAATATTTTTAATGTTGAGTAATAATAATTAAAAATAATTTGTCAATGTTATATTATTATATTTTATCAATTTTGATAATAATTCAATTGTCAAATAACTTAATTTTAACCATTATTAATTTTATTAATTTATTATTTTCAAATCAATCAATAGTAATAAACTATTAATAATGATTCTAATAGATAAAAAAAATTTTTATTGACTTTGAAAACTTTTTCTATTGATCATTTAATCACACACAAAAAAGATGTTTATAAGAAGTTTTTACACTTCCTTGTTAATAAAGTCTTAATACTTTTCTTAAAACAACTTGAAGTATGACTTCAAAAGTCATTTCTATCCTTCTTTATTATCTACAAACCTTTTCACTCAAAAACTTGACTTCTAGTAATCAAGAAAAGTCAAGTAGTATCTTTGATATTAATGACAAGAAAGTTTTCAAAGGAAGAAAAACTGATAGTGAAATACCTGAAGGTCTTTCTAACTTTTAAAGCAAGAGACTTATAGAGGTTTTCTGTAATAAAAAAACTTATTTCTCCCTTTTTGGCCATCTTAACCCTTTTAAAACTCCTATGTTTATAGTTTTTTGAGGGAATTTTGCCTACCTCAGTTTGATCTTAAATTTTGGATAATACAAATCCTCATTAAAGATGATTACTAACACAAAATACGTCAGTTTTTGAAATATAAACAAGTTTCTATTGGTCACGCTCATGTGTCTTGATATATCATTGGTGATGTAAAAAAGAAAGTTCTAGAAAAAGTGTCACTTCCAATAATATATGTTCAATTTTCAGAAAATAATTATGATACCAAAAGACGAGTAATGAATAGGAATAGAAGATTTAACTCTTATCTCTCATTAAGTTCCTCAGATAGTAAAAAGGTTTTTTTGGACAAAAGTTGGGGTCTCCAAGCTTTTATCCTAGTCAGACAAAGTTCTTGAAAAGATTTCTTTATTCTGGTTAGATAAATTCTTTCGAAATATAGTGCTGGCTTTATTAGCAATAAGCAAATCCGTACATTGGCAGAAGGATAAGTTCCTCAAACATTTTTCTTGAAGTTACTTTCAGGAATGGCTAAGTTCCTCAAATGTCGTAAAGTTTAGAAAATATTTCAATTAGGCAAACTCTTTTTGAGAAGAAACTGTGAAATGGAGTAAGAATCTTTTGAAGGACTTTGAATTGTATTCTCACTTCCTTTTTTTTCTAGTATTAACTTTAGCAATTCATTGTTTTTTGAAATAATCGATAGTGACAAACTATTGATAATAATCCTAGTTGACTTAGAGGAACTATGTAAATTACTAGAAGAGTGTAATATTGTTCCTTAAATCTGACTTAAAGTATCTACTTTAGACTTAGTTTTGTTTAATTTGAATCAACTTAGTGGACTTTTTATATTTTTTAAGTAGTATAGTCCTTTAACTAATAATGTATAATAATAAGTTAATCGCTTTGTGAAAGTCTATAAAATATTTAGGTATCTCTTAATATTTCAATAAAGACATGTCAAAGTGATATAATTGTAGGTTAAAAATTTTTAAAATATATAATTAAGATAAGCCATGTTAGCCTGATGGCTGATTAAAAATATATATATATATATACTATATATAAGATAAAGTAATTGAATTTTAATCTTTATTAAAATTAAAAAAATAATTTTTAATAGTAATCTGCAAGTAATAATATTAGTAGTTGAAAGAACATACAGTTGAATTATTGACGAATAAAAATTATTCTTGAAATTATATTCTTGATATAAAGAGAAATTTATAAAATAAAAGTAATATAATCATGGTTTTGTCTTATCGCATAAAAAAAAAGGTAATTAATTTTAATTAATAGAATCCTTTTATGCTTTAGATGAGTTTTATTAAAAGTGAAAATCCTATTATCAGCTGTAGTTTTGTTGCAATAGGAAAAAATCATGCACCTACAGTACAATTAAAATATAAATCGGGCATTGCTTTGTACATACGCATTCTATTTTGATTTCCGAAAAACTTTAATTTTTGCTATAAACGCATAGGCCGTGTAACAATTACGCATCAATATAAAGTGGCCACTGAAGTTAAATGAATTTCTTAATTTTTTGAATCTTCTCCGCGTTTATTGAGAAACGGACCATCTACTCCATAATAAATATTGAAAATGATAAAAAAGAGGACACCACCAAAGTCAGTGGCTTTATTCTCAAATAAAAATTTCACTCATTCCTCATCATCCAGAGCTTCAAAATCTGCACTTCAACTTTGGAAACCTAAAAACAATGCATCCAAAACTACTTTAGGTTTTTGTAATCTCACTTTTAATATCCAAGCCGTAGATATTTTTGGAATTGGTGTATTGGCAAAGACAATTCTATTAATTATAGATTCGAACTTTAAATTTCTCGACAAACAAACTAAATTTGTAAGATGGGGAATCATTTTCTGGGAATTATTATTGATAACTATGGTGATTTGGTATTTAGGTAGGGTGGTCGACGTGTTATTACTAATAGTCAGATTAGTGGACGATGGAATAAGAGGCGTTTTCAGGATAGTGTTCGGAGTTCTTATTGCGTTGGTTAGAATATGACTTAATTTCATCAATTTTTAAAATATATAAATAGTGTGTAAATTTTATTTATGTTCGAATTTTGATGCGTATAATACAAATCACTCCATCACGTGACGGATGCACATTAAATCACGTTTGTTTAAACTAATAACTATCGAGAAAGTTATGCCAATCAGAATTATCTTCTTAAATTTGCTCTTTTCGAAACCAGGAAGATTTCATAATGATTTTATTAGATTATCACAATATTGTAATCGAAGAGGCGTTAAAACAGCCAATAATTGGGTAAGCTCTTGTGTTTTCTTTTTAAACTTTTTACTAAAGGGATGATTGAGATGTGAATAATCTACCCGACAGCCTTGAACCTACGGCATTAGACATGACTGTTGTCGATTTTGATGGTGTATCCTATCGCATTTCGACATTTCAATCCAAGAATGTAATTAAATTTTCAGTTGTGATGCAATGTTATAAAGAACTCCTTCAATGGGGGGTTCAGGATATGCTACAAAGAGAATATAGTCCTTATTGTCAGACAGAAACCGAAGCTGGTTATGACTTAAGTTTAGAGTTTGTTCTGCAGGAATTGCCAGAAAGTAGAGGTCGGTAATTAGACGTAGAATATTTGTAATTTTATTATGTAATCAATGAATATTCATTGGTATTTTTTATGTAACTTTTCTCAGAGGAAAGAGAGGCTTTAGTGAGAAAAGTATCATTGATTAAGCGCAACCTTTTGGCACAACCTTTTGAACGGGCTTTTGAACAGCAAGCTCAATTTGAAGAAGAGAAAAAAACAGATCCGACACCTGATCTCATGCAGATTAATTATAGAGATCAAGAAGCTATTTACATTCAAGCACAACACGACAGAGTCACTGTTATTTTCTCTACATTATTTAAAGAGGAGACTGATAGGATATTTGGTAGAGTGTTTCTGCAGGTAAAGAGATCTAATAACTCATGCAGAGAAATTTGAATAGGCGAATAAACACATACAATGGGTCATTAGGAATTCGTCGATGCGCGTCGGCGACCGGCTATTCAAAACGCACCCCAAGTGCTTTATTCTAGTAAAGAACCGCCTTTAGAAATAAGGCACTTGCCAGAGTTACAAAATGCAGGAGAAAGCGAAGATATTGGATATGTTACATTTGGTAGTTATATGTCACCTACCTTTATGTTCTTTATCCAGCTCATAACCCTACCATGCTAATAAATACATAGTTCTATTTCCACGTCATTTTGTCAAGGGAGAAGTGAGAGAAAAAACCATCTCTCAAATTCAATTATTCCGTGACTATCTTCATTATCATATCAAGTGTTCTAAGGCCTATATGCACTCCAGAATGCGCGCACGTGTGCAGGCGTTCCTAAAAGTACTGAATAGGGCCAAACCAGAGCCACCAGTTGTGGAAAAGAAGACAATCACGTTAGTCTTTTCGTAGTTTATTTTTTTGCCGTTAAACGTTTAATTTCTTATTATTCAATTGACTTTATCCATGCATGCAGTGGAAAAACCATGGTGAGGGCGTAACCAATTTCATGCACTAATAATATTTGTCAATACAAAAACATGATTTCGAGGTATTTTCTTTTTATGAATTTTTTGATGACTCATGTTTCAAGAATTAAATCTTTAAATCGATCGTTTTATACTAGAAAGCTGTATCTTAACGCATATCTGTGTTATTTAATAAACCAAGCAAGTAAAAATTTTGTATTTTTTATACATATATTACGATTCATAAAATTGATATACAGTATATAATAAAAATTTTCATGCATTTCATGCATTTGAATTTTTTTTTTAAAAATTTTTAAAAGATCACGAAACAAGCATTGGATGCATGGCTTTCATTATATTTTCATACAAAGTTTGATATATCAACTGTTTTACACCACCTGAAATGGGGTTAACAGTAACTTATTGCAGTTTTTTCCTATTGTAGTATGTCAACTAATATTATAGAAATGAATCAATATACATAGAGGTCAAATGGTTAACACATATTTCATGAATAGTAACTTTGGAGATATAGCTTTTTTTTTATAATACTTGTAGTCAGGTTAAATTGTTAATTTATTAATCATATGAATACTTAAGTATATTTTTATTTGAGCAGTATGATATATATTATAGTTAAACTTTTTTAATCAAATATAATTAACTTATTATAGACAACAATAGTCTCCTTGAAAATAATCTTTTACTTCATATTGGATTTTGGATAAAAATTCTTCTAGTTTATATATAATTATTAATAGATTATTGTTATTATATATTTTATTAAGTTATTGAAATACAAAAAAACTATATAAGAAATAGATTGAAAAAAAAAAAGAAAATATTTTAAAAATATACAAGTATATAATAAATAAAAAAATTTTCTGATTTTTCTAAAAACTTATTTTTTAAGATCTTTTCTCAATAAGAAATATATTATTGAAATATCTTTTCTTCTCTTGATCATCTGAAAAACTTATTTATTTTTTATTATAATTTTCTTTTCATATATTATTTAAAAAGATTTATTATTTATTAAAAATCTTTATTTTAGAAATATAATTAATTTAACTTTTTTTGAATAGTAATTTTACATTTACGTATTTATAATAAACTAATAATTTATAATAAGTTATAACTTTTTATATATTTTAATAAGAATTAAACTATATTATTTCAATATAATATTTTTTAATAGTTATATCTAATTAAAGAAATTTTACAAATAAATATCTTCAATTATTCAAAAAATTAAATTTTTTAATATTTTTATTTTCTTATAATAATATAGAAACTTTTAATTTAAAAATAATAATAATAATTTTTATTAACTATAATATTTTTTAAAAATTTTTTAAAAAATGTATTTCTAATTTTAAATAAAAGATAAAACTTAATATTAATTAAAAATTATTTTATTTTATTTTTTAATTAAAATAAAAAAGAGAACTTAGTTTTAAATTTTATTTAATCAAAATAATAAAAAAAAATTTTTTAACTTAAACAAATAATAGTTTTTTATTACTTGAGAACTTATTATCTGAATTTTATGAATATTATAAAAATTAATATACAAGTTAATTTAATTAAATAAATAAATAAGTATCAAAAATTAATTAACTATTTTTTTTTTAAAATACTTTCTATCAAATTAATCATGTATACTTTATTAAATATTTGTAAGCTATATATATAAAATGAAGTACTAAAGCTAATTCTCTAATTAAATCACTTATTTTGATTATATTATCTTTTTAAGTACCACTTTAGAAGTGATTTATTACTCTATTAATAGTTTAAGTAAAGACCCTTCCAACTTTTAATATCATTGTTTACAAGTTATCACTATAAATAAAATTAAATAACTCTTTTTTTTTTTTGTATACCCATAGCCAGGTTAGATTATAAGTTTATTAATCAATTGAAACATAAGTACATTTTTATTTGAGCAGCATGATATATACTATAACTAAACTATTATTTTAATCTAATGAACTTATTGTAAACTTAATAGTCTCTAAGTTCAATCTTGAGAACAATATTTCGCTTTGCAGTATCTTTGGATAAAGACCCTCCTAATCTACTGCATCATTGCTAGCAAGTTGTCACTGCCATATGCCTGACCAAACCACTAGAATATAGGAAATTACAAAAGGATAGGTTGAAAAAAAGGTGGAGAATATTTAAAAATGTTTAAGTAAACAACATAAAAATGAAAAGGTAGAAATTGAAAAAAAAAATATTTCCAGCCTCTTTCAAAGACCTACTTCTCAAGATCTCTTTTCAATAAGAAATACCCAATTGAAATATTCTTTCTTTTCCTGACCATCTGAGAAACTTATCCATTATTAATCTTGATTTCTTTCTTGTGTACTGTCTGAGAAGATTTATCATCTAGTAAGAGCCTTTACTTCTAGGACATACTTTGTCCCAACCTTCTTTGAACAGTGATTTTTTATTCACCTGTGATAGAAAGGTGACTTATGATAAATCCCAGATTCTTATGTGACTTAGTAAGAACTGGATCATGTTGTTTCAATATGATACCTTTTAACAGTTATGCCTAGTTAAAGAAATTTTACTGATGTATATCTTTCATTGCCAAAAATAGTCATTCTCAAAGATCTTTTTGCTTCACAATGATGGAAGGGTATCAGAAAAGTAATGAGAATTCTTTCAATTGTGATATCCTTTAACAACTTCTGAGGAAATATATTCTCAACTATAATCAAAGGGTTGGTGCTTAGCATGAACTAGAAACCATTTGGTCTTATTGTCTAACTGGGATAAAAAGAAGATCTTAGTCTTGAACTTTGCCTAATCGGAATGATAGGAGAGAAAAATCTCAGCTTGAACAAATAGCAGCTTTTTAACCATTTGGGAACTTGTTGCTCATATCTTATTGGCCTCATGGTACTTGATCTGTAGGTTAACCCAATTGAAAGAATAGAATGGACACGGGGCATTAATCAACTCTTTTTATCACCAATGATATTATCAGAATATGCGAAGTGACTAATAGGAGCTTGTTTATATTCAATTACTAATATGTTTCATGTCAATCAATCAGATGCCAGGTGATATTGTGCTACCAGAAATTCAGGGTCAAACTGAGATAGACAAAATCCTTCAAAAAAACCATAAAAACAATAAACACTTTAAGAGAATATAAGACAGTATGTGAGAAGATGAATAATATGCCTTTTTCTATTAACAGAACCTTTATTTCTTGTCGCTTTTAGCTCTGTAAGGTGACACTCCACTTGTCAGTCCTTTTACTTTCTAGAACCTTCTTGTCTTAATAGAGGA